GGTTGCATTTGGGAGTGAGAGGCACAACGATTTTAGAGTAGTTCTTTGGTTTAGTTTTAAGTTATTCTGGATTGTGGAATAATTAGAATTGAAGATCTATTTGTTATGACTTATTGCTATTAAATTTTATGTTGGATTTTATGAAGTGAGGATCAAGTGTTTTGGATTTGACCAACTTCTCGTACATGTTAATAAAGATGGAGTTTCTTATAGAATTTAATTTTATTGCATTTGGACATTAAAAGTTGTTTAGTTAAGGTAGCCTTACACATTTATGGGGTGATCCCTATAGATGTGTGGCGTTTGTTACGTCTTGACCTTGGGGTTGGGGCGTGACAGATACCATAGAGATTTCATTGGTGAAGCCATAAGTCTGTCTTCTTCATATCAATCATTTGATCAAAGGTTTGAAGTAGAACTTTGAATCCTAGAGCTCTTCTCTCTTGGATGAATTCTATTTCACAAAGGGATTCTTCAAATTCTTAGAAGATTTGATCTTCATTTGCCTCCATTTTGATCTTCTTGGATTGAAATCCAATTTGTACTATATGATGATTAGGGAAATATTAAAAATTTTCCCCATTCCAATGCAACAAAGTAGATTTTGACAAATACTATTCCTTGCGTTTTAGTGCTAGTCTTGAAGTCTTTCACTCCTTGCCATATAACTTTTAGAAGCTCTAAAATCTCCTCATCATTTTTTGAGAGATAGATATAATTTATGAAACCATAATTGAATAATTCTTTTATGGTTTTCGAGTTTGAACCCTACATAAAATTAATTCTGGGGTAAATCCCTTTATGGTTAGGATGATAATTCTCAATGGACCTAATCAAATATGCCATTCTACAAACTCAATGATATTCCAACAGATATTCTTCACTCATTGTTATGTTAGACAAGGTGTTTATTATTGTAACCTTCTTCACTTTTTTTCCTGAGTAATCAAGTCAAAAGTTATGATTCTCAACATTTTGAATAGTTGGCTTTTCAACTTGAAATGCTACTACTTCTAAGGGGAAGTATTTGACATAATAGTCAAATTTTCCTAAGCTTTCTCCTAGTAATCCTACAATAGGATCACATTGTTCAAAAGCTTCTTTTAGTTCTTGTTGGAAACTTTTCTTCACCATTTAGCTAGATTCTTTGGAGCTTATTTTCAAATTAGTAATTACTTTAGAATTCATTAATTTTTCTATCAACTCTTTGACCTCTTTGAGGGCATCTTGACCCTCATTTAATAACTAATAGCCTTTAATAATTTTTTTGTCACGCCCCAGAACCCAAATCCAAGGACATGACAGACATCGTACACTTGTGAGAGGATTCCACAAATGCACAAGGCTCGAAACTTTATCATACCACAATCTGATACCACTAAGTATGAAGATAAAATTCTAAAATTTGCTCTAATATCATAAAATCTCCAAATAAAGTCTAACTTACAAGATCATGATTTATATCTAAAATCTATGTTCAATTTACAAGATGGCTAGCCTTTTAACTCGTCACTCCCCTCGTTTTTCCCTGTCCGTGACTTTGCTTCTTGAAATGGTGGATAAGGAAAAACTATAAGATAACTCTGTAAGTAAAAATATAGATAGCCTGTGAGTAAACTTTTAGCATGCCTGATAAACAGTTTAACATAATAAAATGTTCAATGATAAACCGTTAATACAAAATAAGATTCAATTCAATAACAAAGTGTTCAATGACAAACCATTAATGCAGAAGAAAATTCAGTAGTAGTCTCATCTATAAGTCATGGCCAGCGTTTAACACCCACTGACGGGCATCAGAAATTACCAATGGTGTTCGCCCATTGGCAAGCGTTAGAATTTACCAATGTGTTCGCCCATTGACAGGCGTCAGAATTTACCAGTGTATTATCCCATTGGCAAGATTACAGAATGACCAGATCTTATCGGTAAACATGTCACGCCCCAGAACCCGAATTCGAGACGCGACAGACGCCGTACACTCGTAAGAGAGTCCCACAAATGCATAAGACTCAGAACTTATCCAATTCACATATGACAATCCAATAACTTAAGTCAGATATTTCAAAATAATTCTATGTCCAACATGACTTAAGCTCAAAATCTCAAGATCAAATCTCTTGTAAACTAACAATCCATTCAGTGAATTTATAAAATCTCCAATTAAAATCTAGCTTACAAGATCATGATCTATAACTAAAGTCTATGTTCAATTTACAAGATGGCTAACCTTCTAACTCGTCACTCCTCTCGTTTTTCCTCGTCCTTGACTTCGCTTCCTGAAATGGTGAACAAGGAAAAACTATGAGATAAACTCATAAAGTAAAATATGGAGTGCCCCTTATTAAACTTATAGCATGCCAACAAGTGTAATCATGAAAAACGGATACAGTACGAGAACGAAATAGACGTCTCCTCTATAAGTAATGGCCAATGTTATAAACCACCCACTGGCAGGCGCACTATTTGTTAGTGTATAACCCCCACTAGCAGGGTCACTCGAACAAATCGGTTCTATCAATAACATATCGACATGTGCTAGCGTTTAACCCCCACTAACAGGGTCACTAATAACATGACCACATCAGAGACAAAACAAGCAAAAGTTAACAGAAAAATCATAATTCACCAATCACTTTCAAATCATCAGGACAATCAATTAAATTTCAAGTAGGCATGCTCAATTTAATGAAAAGCATAAAAATTTCACTTCAAATCAGTCATATGTTCGTATAAAATGGGTTTAGTCCCGCCACCACTTCAAAAACAAGTTAAACATGCTTTTAAAAACTGTACGGGCATTACCATAAATTTACTTATCTCACTCGCATAAAAACGAAGACTAGATCTCAGTGCTAAACTAAAAGAACGATCAAGAACCTAATCAAAATATCCAAGAATTAATTACCGTACCACGGATTCAAAAGTAAAATCACCATGACTACCCACTAATCACGATGCTATTCCTATCAATCTCCACATGATCAGATATCTCCAAATTTGTTCTTATATTACAAACTAAACATTTAAATCCCCATTAATTGTTGGCCATCAGTGCGTGAACAGTATTCATGAACAGTAACCATGACGTGAACAGTAACCACAACTTCCAAAAATTGGGCAAACCATAGTTAATCTCACAGGATTTTTCTCTAGACAAATTCACAACAATTACTCAAGCTAATTTCCACTTAATTTAAACAAAGCCCACTTAAAGCTACCGAAATTCCCCCATTTTTCCAGCAAAATTCGGACAACACAGAGCAGCCACAACAAGGACCAAATTCAGCAAAGGCAACAACCAATTGGATAAAATTCGGACTTAAGGGAGGTTGTCAACTTACCCACAATTTTCCAGCAAGCAAAACCGGAGCTGGTGGAGGGAAGAAGCCGGCAGCAGTGCAGGGGGAAATTCGGGATCTATCCAAAAATTGAAGAAACCAAGAGAAATCAAAGTTAAACCAAGCCAATTAAAGCTAGAGAAGGGAGATTCATGGCTGTTCTTACCGAAAAATCAGGGAATTTCGCACCCACAAGCAAGAGCAGCCGGCGGAAGGACAGAGCAGAGCAGGGCTAATCCGAAAATTTCCTGCAGGGGGGAGGTTTCTAAGCTCCAAATCTGGTTCTTGAACAAGAAAAGAAAGGCAAAAACCAAGCTTTCTCACCGGTTTTCAGAGGGGAGGTGCATCGGGGGCCTGGGTCTTGTTGCTCGGTGCAGGGGAGGAAAAAGAAGAGCAGGCGCGCGGGTGAGGAAGAAGAAAGAAGGAAAAAAAATAGTTGATCCTTATCCAAATCTTTCCCCTTTTAAGCCCATTGAATTTAACACAAATTGCCATTAGGTTCACTAATAATATTTCCTCACAAGTTAGTCCCTAACTCACACTTATTTATTCTAGAAATTTTTGGGGTATGACAAAACATGTCAACATGTGCTAGCGTTTACTCCCACTAGTAGGCACACGGATAACATGACCATATCAGAGACAAAACCATGCAGGATTTAAGAAAAATCTGTAATTCACAATCAATCTCAAATTTCAAAATAAACCAGAAAAATTCCATGTGGGCATGGATTTAACAGAAAAATCAGAATTTACAAAATTCTCAAATCATCGGCAGTTAAGCAAATTCCAAGTAGACATGCTCTACTCAATGAAAATGAAAATACTTCCATTTCAAACCAATCATGCTCGGTGCTAACAAAATCAATTTAAACCTTGCCACCATTTCAAAAACAATTTAAAACATGCTTTGAAATCGAAGGGCATTGCCACAATTTACTTACCTCGCATAAAACCGAAGACTCAATCCACGTACTAAAGTGCCCCAAGGATCAAGAACCTAACCAAAATATCCCAGAATTAATTCTATAAGCAATTTCATTTATTTATTTATTTTCATTGACCGGATTGTGTATATATACATTTATATACACAAATACATATAAAATGGTTTCCCCATCTCACGGACAAAAAAATGGAGAAGCCAGGCCTTTATTAAATTAATCCTTTTTGGCAAAATAGTAGCTAATCACGGGATTTTCATATAAAATACTACAACAGCCAATCAAGAACATTTTCTACATTAAGCAAGCTTAAAAACCCATGTTTTAAGGCTGCCGAAACTCCTCCATTTCAACAGAAAATTTTCGACAGACAAAATGGAGGAACCGAACTTGGCAAAACAGCACTAAGACCCGGTTATGCATACAGAACATCACAGTAGTCCAATCACAGAAAATTCTACATGAATTAAACTCAAAACATGTTTCAAAAGCTGTCAGAATTCATCCCCTGTACAACAGAAAATTTTCGAACAACAAGGCAGTAACTAATTAACCATTTTCGGACTTAAAGATACCATCAACATACCAGAATTTTTCCAGCAGCCAAAACGGAGCTGGCGGGTATGGAGGCCGACGGAGGCTGGAGAAGAAATCATGAAAACTACCATAAAATTACAAGAAACAAAAGGGATTAGAGTGACCCAAGCCAAATTAAAGCTAAAGAAATGAACTTGAAGCTGGTTCTTACCGAAAATCCCGAAGGATTCACACCCAGCAGGACAGCGGACAGACAAAGGGGGAGAAACAGAGCAGATCTGAAATTTTTCTGCAGGGGGAAAGATTTCTAAGTCCTAATTTTGCTCTTTAACAAGAAAAGAAAGGGAAAATTTTAAGCTTTTGCTGATTTTTTTCAAGAAATGGAAGTCAGTGCTTGGGCTTCTTTTTCCGGAGCTGTAGGGGTGAGGAAGAAGAAGAAACCCGCGTGGCTGAGGAAGAAAGAAGGAAAAAAAATCAGCTTGATCCTTATCCTAATGTTTTCCTCTTTCAAGTCCCTCAAGTTTAGAAACTTTTTCCATTAAGCTCAATAATATTATTTTCTCACAATTTAGCCCCTAACTAAATGCGAAAATATCAGAAAATTTGGGATATTACATTTTTCTTGACCTTCATCCATGAGGCTATGACTTTTAGCTATTATTTCTTGGCTTTCAATCATTTTTTTTTGTTTTTTACCTTTCTCATTTGGCTATTGCCTTCAATGAGTTTCTTTTGACCTTCAAGAATCAAGCCTTTTCCTTCATTTTGGAGTTTCAAGATTTTATCCATTAGCTCTTACTCTACTCAAGAAATCTACAAGGCAATTATTAGTACCTTTGACATGTTCAATTTCAAAATCATATTTAGCAAAGAACATTTGCCATCTATTTAATCTCTTATATTATTGTGTTAAAAGTAATTTATTAAAAATAAATTCCTTAATTTGAGTATTGTCAATTCAAATCTTGAAATGCTTTAGTAATAAGAAGAAACTAAACTTTTTTATTCCATTTTTAATGTCCAATAATTCTTTATGATTAGAATTATATCTAGTTTTTACATCCTTAAATATTCCACTAGTATATCTATAAACTTTATCTTGAGAATATTTTAAAACTATTCCCCAAAAAAAATCTAAGGCATCATATTCTAAAATTAACTCTTCATCATCTTTAGGCAACTATAACCTAAGAAGGTTTTTACAATATTCTTTGATCCCTTCACATGATTAGTGTGATAGATACTCCATTGTTGATTTTCCTTTTTCCTAAGCAATATTTGCAAAGGATGTCTCAATTGAGCCAATTTTTTTATAAATTGCTTTGCATAATTGAGTATACCTAAGAATCTTTGAATTTGCTCTCTAGATTCTAATTTGTCTAAGAATAATAAAATCTTTTCACTAATGTGAGGCCGTAACTCTGTTCCTATATAATTTATTATTAATTCAAGGAATTCAATTTTGGTTTTTGCTATTTCTACTTTCTTTTTAGAAAGTAGGATTCCATGTTTCTTGTATAAATGTGTAAATTCTTAAGATGATACAAATGTTCTTTCTTGTTATTTGAGAAGATTAGTATATCATCTATGTATACTATACAAAATCTTCTTATGGTGAAAATACATTATCCATTCTTCTTTGAAATATTTAGGGTGCATTCTTTAATCTAAAAGGCATTACTAGCCATTCATAGCGCCTTGTAGGAGTACTAAAAGTAGTTAATGGGATACGAAGTTAACTTAATTTGTGAAAATCCTAATTTATAGTCAAATTTTGAATATATCTTCTTTCCTCTACTGCTATTGATTAAAGTTTCTTTATGTGGCAACAAATATCCATCAAATTTAGTTGTTTTAAATACCATTTCGGTCCCTCAACTTTTCATTTTAGCACCAAAATTGTCCTTCAACTTTAAAAAGTACCAAAATATATCTTTAAGCTTTTATTTTCGACACCAAAATGGTCCTTCCGTCAATTAAATGGACAAATGACACGTTAATTTACCAACAAATCAATTCTTTTATGTGGCAACAAATATCCATCAAATTTAGTTGGTTTAAATACCATTTTGGTCCCTCAACTTTTCACTTTAGCACCAAAATTGTCCTTCAACTTTAAAAAGTACCAAAATATATCTTTAAGCTTTTATTTTCAATACCAAAATATCCTTCCATCAGTTAAATGGACAGGTGACACGTTAATTTACCAGCAAATCAATTCTTTTTTTTTTAACTAATGACATGGAAAAAAAAAAAACATAGTTGGCATTTTTTTTGAGGTGACATTTTTATTTAATTTAAAAATAATGATTTTTTTTTTTCCATCCATGCCATCTCTTCTTCCTCTTTCACTTTCTCTCTCCTTTACCTTTCCTTTTCTTTTACCTCTGCAAACTCATATCTGGGTTATCTTTCAAACTTCATCTTCTTTTTCCTTTCCTCTTCCCTACTTTTCCTTCTTCTTTCTCTCTCTCTCTTCTCCCTTCTTCTTCCTCTCTCAAACCCAGATCTGGGTTTTATCACATAAATTAAAGCCCAGTTCCTTTATTCAATTTACAAAATGGATAAATGTCTATTCACCTACATTTTCTTTTTTGCATAGCAACAGATGACCTGACAAATCTCCCAACCCATAAAATCTTCAATTCTTCTTCCTTCCCACTTATTTACGCTCTTCATCGAGATTGTGATTTCAATACAAACAAGGGGGAGGTTGTTGGTTTTTTCTTGGGTGTATTTTGATCTTGGAGTTTTCGAGAGTGTAATTATGTTAATTGCATTGGAGAGGATAGATGCAAGTACTGGGTTCAGGTGGGTGATGGCACGCGACTTCATGTTTGAGTCGTCGTCGGTGGTGACGGAGAGGAAAGTGGAGGAAGAGGAAGATAAGTGCAAAAGCACACTGGGACGACCTCCTCGTCCTTGATCAGGAGGAGTAGTAATGAGGATGATGATGGTCATGTGTCTAGAAGATCATCGGATGGAGGAGATTGCGAGGAAAATGAGGTGCAAAGTTCGTACAAAAATGCCTTGGATATGATGGATTCTCTGGAGGAGGTTTTGAGGAAGTCAGCCACAAGCGTTTCTCTCATTAATTTATGTGATGAAACCCAGATCTAGGTTTGAGAAAAACCCAGATCTGGGTTTGAGAGAAAAAGAAGAAGGGAGAAGAGAGAGAGAGAAAGAATAAGAAGAAGAAAGAAAAAGGATGAACAGGGAAGAGGAACGGAGGAAGAAGATGAAGTTTGAGAGAGAACCCAGATCTAGGTTTGTAGAGGTAAAGGAAAAGGAAAGGTAAAGGGGAGAGAAAGTGAAAGAGGAAAAAGAGATGAGGTGGATGGAAAAAAAATATCATTATTTTTAAATTAAAAAAATGTCAACTATGTTTTTTTTTCCATGTCATTAGGTAAGAGAAAAAGAATTGATTTGTTGGCAAATTAATGTGCTGCTTGTCCATTTAACTGATGGAAGGATCATTTTGGTATCAAAAATGAAAGTTTAAGGATAAATTTGATATTTTTTAAAGTTAAAAGATAATTTTGGTGCTAAAGTAAAAAGTTGAGGGACCAAAATGATATTTAAACTTATTTAGTTTTGCTATTGAATTGTTTGTAGCTAACAACCATTCTAGTTCTCTTTTTATTTCATTGTGATTTCTAACTATAAAGGCAAGACTAACATGAGGACTTTTTAAAGCCGGTATAATCTTATGGATTATTAATTCTTAGATTTCCTTTTCAAATTCCTTTTTATCTTTGGTACTATAACCTATTGGTTTGACTTTAATGATAGTTTTTCGATCTACCAATTCAATAGTTGCATAGGTTTTGTCAATTTCCCAAAGTTTTGTAGGATTTTCTCCATAATTATTTTTCAGTTCTTTTGTAATGGATTCTAGGGTTATATCTTTTTGTGTTTTAGCATTTTTCTTGAATGCTAAAAATGGTTTTCTTATTTCTTTTGAGTGAGTTTTTTCTATTATCCTCACCATATTGGTTGCAAAAAATTAATAGTTCTACTACTCTAGTGTATGCATTGTAAATTCTAGGGGCGTAAAGCCAATACCCACAAGGTATATAAAGTTTTACATATGATGCAGTTTGGATAGCTTCTTAAACACAACTAAAAATTTGACTTTTTTCAACCAACTATTTTTCAACGCAACTTGTGGTGGAAATTAAAGTTTAATATAAAATATCTAAAATTTACAAATAATTTTCAGGTGAGACTTATTTTCCAATGTTAAGCACTGGAAAATAATTTAGCACCATAATTTGGTTTGGTGCCTTTTATTTTCTAGTGCAGAGCATTGAAAAATAATATTTTTTGTGTTGCTACTAATAGAAAAAAATTTCAAAAACAAAAAAAATATATTTTTTACCTTTTTTTTTCCAGTGCAAAACATTGAAAGATGTTTAGAACCATCCAAGTTAAATAGTAGAAATGGGGTGTAGGTTATTTTCTAGTGTTAAGCATTAGAAAATAATCCTACCCAAGTTGTACAGGTTATTTTCTAGTGTTTGGCACTGGAAAATACTCTTATCCAATTGGTTTAGGTTATTTTTTAGTGTTGGGCATAGGAAAATACTCATGTGCAATTGGTTCAGGTTATTTTCTAGTGTTTGACGCTGAAAAATACTCATGTCTAATTGAGTCAAGTTATTTTCTAGTGCTTGGCATTGGAAAATAAGTTTATTAAAAAGTTTAATAACCAAATATTTAAATATCTTTTCTTTTAAAAATATAAAATTCTGCCTATATTTTTTTCCCAATGCTTAGCATTGGAAAATAATTTTATCTGAAATTTAAAATCCAACATTCAAGCATTATTTTCCCTTGTAAAATTTTTAAAATCCCACCCACATTATTTTTCAACACTAAGTCGTGGAAAATAATAAATATGTATATAAACCTCCAACCTTTCATTCCTTAGCATTTTCTCCCGTATTCTTCTTTCTTCTCTTTCATTTTTCTCATCCCTTATCCAAATTCACTTTCTTTTTTCTCCTCTCTTCCTTTACCCCACTCATCTATTTCACTTTCTCATCTTAATCTTCCCTTTCCTCTGCTCTCCATTTCCTCTTTCTTTTCCTTTTCCATTTCATCTTCATTTCTTCTACTTTCCTTCTTGCTTTTCTCTTGTTCTCTCCATTCCTCTTCCTTTTCCTCTTCCTCTTCCTTTAATATGTTACTTGAAATAAGAGGTACTATTCATTTCAATTTATTGGTAGTATAATTTTCAATTTTCTTTATATTTTTCTTTATCAATAAACTCTAATCTATATATATATATTACTAATTAAATTTTTTTATATATTTCAGATGTTTTTATGAATTACATGAAATTGAAGTATGTTTATGTATTTAATTTCATTTATTTTTGTCAATATTTATTAAATTATATATATTATGTAATGTTTTATATAAGATTGTGTTTACAAAGTAAATATATTAAATATAATTGTTTATGTGTAATTAATTTTAATATATTATAAAGTAGTGTTTTATTATTAACATTTTATTCATTTAATTTCTTTAATTTTAATTATTATATGAGTTGTATCTTTATTTAGTGTGTGTTTTAGATTTATATATATATAATCTTGATTAATATATATAATATTGTTTTATGGTTAAATTTATTCATTTTAAACATTATTTTGTATTTGTAAATATTTACTAATTGTATAAAAACATAGTAATGTAAAAATCTATTTTTTTAATTTTCTGGATATTTTTTTTTTGGCACTTAGTACTAGAAAATAATGGCTATATATCTCTTTAAGGTAAAAACTATTTTTTCAACGCTCATTGGTAATGGCAACTTAAAATATATTATGGGTTTGCCATTATCCATTACTTTTCAATGCTAAGAACTGGAAAATATTAGTAATTTTTTCTAGTGCATTTTTTTGCATTGAAAAATAATTATTTGACACATTTTTTTTTCCATCAACATTTTTTAGTGCACAACGCTGAAAAATAAGAATTTTCTAGTGCATTTTAAGTATTTTCTAATGCAAAATGCACTAGAAAATAGCCTTTTTTTTGTAGTAGTAAAATTAACTTAGGAAACTATTTCTTAATAGGATATCATTCCCATGTTCATTATTTTCATAGACTCGAGGAATTACAATTTTAGTTCTACCAATTATGGTAGTAACTCTTTTTATTATTGTTTGGTATTAGACAATACTTTCATCTATGGCTACACCTTTCATTGTTTAAGAGGTTTTCTTCTAGTAATACTTTGGGAATACATTAGTTTTAGTCAAACATATCTTAGATCCTATGTCTATAAAAGCATGAAAAAAATTATGATTTATATTCTTTATACTTGATTCCAATTGACATGTAAATGCTATAGACACTAGTTTTCATAGTCTCTTGGCATGACACTTCTCCACTAAGGGTGATTCTTAAACAATGTGCTTGGATATTATAAGGTTGTACTGATGTTAAGAATGTATTTCCTAACATCAGTTTTATACTTATAATCATTTCTATTTCAACGTGAGTTGGTTTAGTAATTTCATGTTGTACTTTATTCTTATCCTTTATAATAAGAAGTACTTTAGTATATTATACTATGCTCATTACACCATTAAAGTTACAGTTTGTGTAGGGCTTAATGAGTTCAAATCTTTGCAAGTATGGGATCATATCACTATGGATATAAGTTAGTCCTACTTCTCTATCTATTAGGATGGAAATATTATGTCAGTTCTTTCCATCATAATAATCTCATTTGATTTTGAAATGTCTAGAGGGAATTTTTATGGTGTCCAGTATCTTATCATGTCTTAAGCTAGTTGATTTAGTTAAGACCTCTTTACTTTTCTTTGGATAGCTTAGAGCTCCAAAATCTATACTATACTTCTATGACTTGATTCTAGTTCTATTTTGACCACCAGCCTTACTGACTCATATGTCATCAATTTAGGCTTACCTCTTTCCCTTGTTTATAGTGGTTTCTCATTGTTGTCCATTTGCCAATCTCTAGGTAATTCTATCAATAATCATTTTAGGTTTTTGAATTTGTACTGTTGTAGAAAACATAGGATCTTACCCAATATATTCTTTATCTTTAAATAGATTAGACTGATAACTTTTGGTCAATACATAACTTATCATATAGTAAATGCTATACGACATTGATCCATCTTTCATAAATTTTTCTCTAGAAAATTCATGTGCGAGGCCTAATGTTTTGTTGATATTTCTATCATTGATATATATAGCATATTTTAGATATACTGTAAATATAAGTTTCTAATAACTAAGGTTACCTTGTACTATTCCTAGGATTGTATTCTTTCTATCATTAATATTATTATCTACCAACGACTTGTTGGTCAGAGTGGAAGGAGTTCAGTTCCCCTTAAGTAAGGTCTCGAGTTCGAATCTTATGAATAGAGAAACAAACGCTGAGAGAGCTTCCTTGCTAATGGGGTCCGACACGGCTTGATTCTAGATTAGTCAGGACGCCATGTGGTTACCGGATACCGAGAGGTTAGTACCAAAAAAAAAAAAAAACTAATTCTATTATCTATTAAAACTATTTTTAGTGGCGTGTCTATTCCTCCTGTAAAATGAGCTTTATTTAGGATCTAAATTCTTCTAATATGGATAAATCCTATCTTTGATCTTTCTTATTCTTTGATTTTTTACCGTTTACTCTCTATTTCTGTTTTAATAAGCAGGGATATACTTATTATTCCTATTGTGTTCCTTATAGAAATACTATATTCTTTCAAGGATATTCTATAACACACTATATCTGTCTTTTTAAAAGGATTCCTTATGAAAGAATTTGACTTAAATCTTTTTTCTAATACAAGGTCCATTCCATTTTGTCTAATTGTTTTATATTTACTTCTATTAAATATAGTCATTGGCTATATTCTTTATATCCTCCAAATTCTTTAGAATATGTTTCTCCTTTCTCAATATTTGGATTCATCACCGCTAAAAGTGTCTAAATGTTATACTTCATATATGCTTTCTTTGCTATTTATAGGGTTGGTCTCTATTTTGCTTAATTCTTCTTCATAGATTTTTAAATTTTTTGTACTTTCTCTTTTATATATCTTTTAGGACATTCATTTGCATAGTATCCTTCTTCTTTGCATAACCAACATGTACATTACTTAGGATTTCTCTTGAACTTTCTTGGTGCTTTATATTTCTTAAAATATCACTTTTTCTTTTGAGAAAATTTATTGTTATTAAATCTTTGTTTATTACTTCTTTTGATTCTAAATCCTTTGCTTCTCTTCTTGTATTTTGAATAACTACAACCTAGCTTGATTGAATCACTGTTCTTAGGGCAACATAACCCATTTTCATTCTTTTTTCTAAATTACTATAACGCTAGGTTTCTATATACTATTCATTAACTTTGGTTTTAGTAAACCAGATTCTAAGTCCTAACATATCGGCTTTACCTTCTACATAAGTTCTATATGCTTCTAACAATTTTATTCCTCAAGGGTTTGGGATTTTTCCAAAAAGTAATTCTATTATATTTTTAGCCATTCCATGATTTGCAACTTTATAATAATATTAAAATGTTAGAAATATATGTATTAATCTAGCTCACAAAGATTGCATAATTCTAAATTTTGTAGGTTCCATATAGTTATTCTTCCAAATTTGGCTTCTTCTTTTTGTTGATTTTCTTCTCAGATTTCTTCTAGAAATTCTTTTCTTATAGCTGATTTGAATATAGTTATTTTTCTTCATTTTTATTTTACTTCATTTGAAGCAGGATTTCCACTTATAATGGTATTGCTTTCTTCATCATTTAAACTAGGAAACTAGTCATGAACTATTATTCCTCTAAAGGTAACTTCAATAAATATAACTACCTGTAGGGCAATTTAGTTTTTGTTTATTATGGTAATCTAAGTGGTTTGAGCCCAATCACTAATGGCTTTTCTTGAATAGGTATTGAATAGGTAACACCATCTAAACCTAGCCAAGTACCATTGGTACTAATCATTTGTTCTTTGACTTGAGCTGGCGTTTCAAGTGTAGATTGAGTTCCAAACTTTTTATTCTTTCTACCATATAACAATTCATTTATTTAATTTTTATTTTTCCTAAAATTTTGACTAGTGTTGGATTCTACTCCAAGTTGTACTAGAAATTTTGTTGGAGTTATATTGGGTTGTCTTTGATCTTTTTCTTCTTCACTCTCTTCTTCAATTTCTTTCTTTCTTTCTCCTTGAATGTTCATCTTCATGTTTTCTAGCCATTTAGTAATTATTGCAATATGTTTACATAGATTATCTAATTCTTCTACTTCTTCTTCTTATGGGATTGTCTGTTCAAGTTCCTTTAATTTTTCTTCTTAGGTTTTTAACCTGAGAAGTGTTATTTCTTTAAATTTAGGTTTTTTTTGTGAAAATTTTTGTGATTATTTTAAATCCTTCATTTCTATTTATAATATTTTGTCTATTGTAGACTAATATTATAGTATCTTGTAAATTGTTGAGTTGAGTCTAGATCTTATAGAAGTTCTTAGTTTTTAGTTGTGAAGTTATTCTATTATACATCTTAAACTTTTATTTTAAAATTTTCAATGACTGCTTTTAGTATTTTGAAAATATCTTCCTCTTTAATACCTATATCTTTAGTTCTAAATATTAAAGTCTTTGAGTTTTTAAATTTTAATAGATTATATAGCCTCTTTTATTTCTTTTAAATCTCTAAAATTTCTAAATCATTTATTTTTTTAATAGAATCAAATTCTTAGGAGAGAGATTTTCCTATTTCTTTAGTTTTTTAAAGTGGTTTCATTGATAGTTTTTATTTTTAAAATCTTATCCATAATAATTATATCTTTTATACTAATTTTGTGTTTACCTAATGTATTTAATAAATATATATTAAATCAGTTTATTTATTAATTATTCATATTTATTTCAATAAATTCATAATTTCTCTCAATTTATTACTGCTTTATTTTTTAAATCTAATCTACCAATTATATAATCATATAATTCCATTATTTGGATTTATTCTTTTATTTTCTTGAACTTTCTATCTTAATTCAACTAAGTAATTTTCTTTGACTTCATCTTGAATTTTCACATCGTTTGAGCTATTTGCTCTGTTTGATTACAAATATTTATCATTGTTCTTGTCTATGAGGTAATATCTCCCATTAAAATTTTCATGGGGCTTAACTGTCACTTTTTTAATTCTTTGAGGACTAGTCCTGTAATTTGCTACTTTGATCTAACGGTGAGTAAACGTTTTCTGTTAGCCCAGGGGTATATCCTTGAAACCTTTCTGGTTCAGGAGTTTAAACTTTCAAACTTTCAGTTCGGGGACGAATAAACGGAAGACTTACAAAGTTCAGGGGTGATTTTTGCGTTAATGCCGAGAAGATTAGAACTAGAAGAAAAATCTAGTGCTTGCTAGAGTTGCACGGATGGAAGCAAACGCAACATCCAATCTCTCAGATGCAATCACTATAGGAGACTTCGTATTGAAATCAAAGCTCGGAGAAAGTTCTTTCTCCGCAGTGTGGAAGGCAGAGCGCAGATCAATCGGAGAGGAGGTTGCGGTGAAGCAGGTCTTCCTCTCGAAACTCAACAAACACCTCGCCAACTGCTTGGACTGCGAAATCAAATTCCTTTCTTCTGTAAAGCACCCCAACATCATTCGCCTCCTTGATGTCTTTCAGGTTGGTTCAAACTTAAAAATTCTCGATTTTTTTTATTGATAACCGATTGGTTGTTTTTGATTTTGTGGTGATTTTTCGGAATACCCATTTGAATTGGATGAATTATTATGTAAGTTGTTTACTTCTGAATCTGGGGATGGAAATTTCTGATCTCATAAGAGAAATTTGATGTGTTTGAGTAGAAAACAATTTCTCTAGCAATGCTTATGCTGATATTATAGACCATATGAGGAATACAAGCATCTTAGTGTCCCAGTAGGAGCAAAAGGTTTTGGATTTGAGTCCTACAGACTACAGCATGCATTCGGATGGGGTGGGTAAAGGGATGGGAGAGAGTTACCTCCATTGTACAACCTAAATTTTTTTTAGGAGAAAAAAATACTCCCTATTGGTAATTGTTTAACTGTTTATATCCTTGTGCGAAGTCTATACAAGGTTTTATGGTTCTTGTTGAGTTGGTGTTCTTGGAAACATAGTTTCATCAAGATTTGACGTTAATTACATATCAAACATAACTGAAGAAACATGCTTAATTTTGTTTTAGATCCAAATTGGTATTAATTACTTAAACTATACCAGAACACGAATTCCTTGAATGTCTTTTCAAATTTCTATTTATTGTTTATATAATTTGTTTTGCTACTTGGATTCTCCAGAGAAAAACTTGATTATCCTTTTTTTTTTTTTTTTTTTTTTTTTTTTTTTTGCTTCAGACTGAAAATTGTATGATCATGGTTCTGGAGTTCTGTGCTGGAGGGAATCTGGCCTCTTATATTCAGTGTCATGGAAGAGTTCAAGAAAGGATTGCTCAAAGATTCATACAGCAGCTTGGTAGCTTCTTATTGTCAATCTAGTTAATATTCAGGCATCTGATCTGAGTTACCATTAGTTCTTATTTATATGTTTTATAAATTATAAAATTGATTTTTGTATTGAAGGAGCTGGTTTGGAGGTTTTGCACACCCATCACATCATTCATAGAGATTTGAAACCAGAGGTATGAGACGGGTTGCACATTTGCACATGCATGGTTGGGGTATTTTACAAGATATATATTCATAAGTGTGTATTTTATTTGTTTCTTCCTCTAACTTTTTCAATAATACATTATCTATCTGTTAAAAGAATTGTTTTAATCACCTTTAAAGATTTACATTCTCTACTAGAAATTATTATTACTTAAAATTTATACCTTCTTAAGCTTATTATCTTCAAAAGGAATTATTAAATTTTAAAGATAATATGTGATGAATAATTTTATGGACAGAAGATAATGCGTTAATTAATAAGTTGGACTACCATACATTTGTTAATTGGCACTAGGCAGATACTGTAAAGATAAAATTACAATTGGGTTCAAAACTGTCACCTACTAATGTCAAAATGTAAAATGGAAGATACTTATCTCTTTCAAATGTCTTTTATTTGTAATGCTGGAAATTAATAGATAATAGATTACCTTACTGCTGTTCTTGTGCAGAACATTCTCCTTTCTGGCTCCAAGGATGACTTGGTGCTCAAGATAGCTGATTTTGGTCTTTCAAGGTAAATTTTATGGAATGAAAGATTGAAACCAGGTCAATAAAGGAGCTTCAGAATATGCTAGCAAATTGATGTGGGACAGGTTAGGGGTATGGTGGCCTTAGAGATTTAGTGGCTGTCTAGGGGGCAAATATACGCTGTTAACAGTACACGTGAACAGTAAAAAGTTAAAAATATAGTTTTGAAGAGAGGGAAAAAATACGAGAAAGATAAAAAAATCCTAGGAGTCACACTTAGGCTTGTTTAGGCATGACACTTAAAGAAGATAAAAACCCTTAAGCATCACACTTAAGTTTGGTCATGTCACACAATCTCAAGAGAAAACTCTTGTTGCAAATTTCTAAAAATTCAATTTACTTGACGCCATAAGGAAAGAAGTTACAAATATATTTATAATCCTAAGATTCCTAAATTACCAAGAAATAGAGTTCCTATTCTAATTAGACTAGGACTTAAACTTTATGAAAATACTAAGGTACCTTATAAGACTCTTAAATAGAAGATCTAATCCTAATAAAACTAAGAAATGAATAATAATCTAAAATAACATTTGAATAATAATAATTACCTAAGAATCCTAAATAATCTAAATAACTATTTAATAGCTTCTTCTTGTTCCTCATCACAAATGGCATGAAAATAACTTGAGAATTAATCATTTTAACATTTTTTAACTTAAATGAAAATATTGTGTTAGCTTAAACTCTGAAATTTTTAGACTTCTGTTTCCTCCCTTTCTTGTTTCCCTTCTTATGGCATTGTCTTTAATGTTGGAAGTAGCATTTCACATCCAGGCACATACATTGAGACAGTATGTGGTTCCCCATTATATATGGCTCCAGAAGTTCTGCAATTTCAAAGATATGATGAGAAGGTAAGTACATGTCTTTATCTGTCTACATGCCCTCTTGTTCGAATAAGATGATTTAAGATGATATTGAGATTTTGAACTTAACCATAGGTGGACATGTGGAGTGTTGGTGCCATTCTTTTTCAGCTTCTTAATGGTTACCCACCTTTCCGCGGGAGGACTAATGTTCAGGTAGGAACATTGACTTGAGAACTATTGTTGTAATCTTTGAACAATTAGCTCTGAATTTCTAATCTCATGGAAAAATTATGTTGGTCTTAGTTGCTGCAGGATATCAAGTCATGCACATATCTTCCATTCTCTAAGTTCATCCTTCCACAATTGCATCCAGACTGTATAGATATATGTTCAAGACTTCTATCCATAAATCCAGGTTAAGAATCACTACCATCTACATTTTATGCCCCAACATGTATGGGCTTTTAGCTTTTTGCTTGAATTGAACTCTCTAGTTCTTAATCGTGCATTGGGGTCCATGATTGCAGTTCAGCGCCTGTCTTTTGAGGAATTCTATCATCACAGGTTCTTGAATGGGGAACTGAAATCTAATTATGACCTTTGGAATTAGAATACTGCACTGCCTCACTGTGGTAAAGGACCCTTGATAGATAAGTGTGACTGGGACAGATACTCAGATATTGAAGTTATTAGATCATAGGACTTTCACGGCTGCCAGGGGAATCACCAGAGAGTGGCACAACAATGGCATAAAAACATCCCAATCTCGATGGAGGCTAATATTTCCAGCTCTAAACTGCTGCGCTAACCCTTAAAATTGTATGCTGCAGTCAAAGGAACATAGATATCAGCATACCAAGCCAGGAAGATCATTTCTTCTGCTTGGTGCGCAATGTTTTGTTTAGAAAGAAGAGTTGGAAGAACCGTGCATGGTGAAGTTGACATGACAAGGGACGACTAGGAGAAAACAGTGAAGATGGTATTCTGATCAACTCAACTGAGCTAGCTTTGTTCTTTTCTTTCAAAGAAAATTGCAGTGTCCACTCATTAATTTATGATTCCTTGCATACACGACTGCGACTTCCTTACGACTGCGACTTCCTTGCGATGGCGAGATAAAAAGGGGAAAATAAAAAAAGGCTGGTTCCTTGCGACCCAGAATCCGAGGCGAAGCATTATGCCATTAACATCTCTTTTCATTCTAATTTCAAGTTTGCTTATGGGGGCATTTGGATTAGTTCTTTAGATGCAGTTTATATAGTTGATAATTAATATTTAACAGCTAATAATTATTATTATTTATAGTGTAATAATTATTGTTGTTTATAATGTAATGTATGTAATTCGTTTGATGGGAAACATTGTCTGACAACTGATTGTGGAAACTCAAACAAATACCTCTATTTTGAAGGTGATTAGCAAATAATAATAATAATAATAACAAACTCAAATGGAAGTTGAGGTCCCGCTTCAAAAGAAAAAAAAAATTGGAAGTTGTGATCATTGTTATTAAAGATTTTGTTAAGATTATTAATTTTAATTGTAATTTTATATTAATTTATAGTTATTTTTTAAATAATTGATTATGATATTTGAAAAGGAAAAAGAGAAAATTAAGATGTATTGGAATTAAAATCATTAAATATATGAGATATAAGTTTTTTTTTTTTTTTTGAACAAAGGGTAATTAGCATTGCATTAAGGAAACTGCCATACGGCATCTACAAACAGACCATATCCAAAAGGATAAGGGTAACAAATAAAAATAAGAACAAACTGGAGAAGCAAAGCAGAGTAGGCTCGATGCGTGGGAGGAAGGGAGGTGAAGTCACTCGAGCAACCTGAGGTTGATCGATCCAGCCATGGGACACCCTTCAATCTACTCCGGAGAGGATGGCGCGAAATCTCTAGGACGCCGCAGCAGAGATCCAGTCCGGCGAGGCCAGATTTGGAAAATCAGCGAGCACCTCCCAAGATCTATAGGAAAAGCCAAGGGTCGCCAGATCTGAAAAACAAACCATACAAGAAAACAAAGAAAAACAAACCATACAAGAAAACAAAGAAAAACAAACAACAAGAAAACAGGAAAACCAAAGGGGTCACCGGAAAGGGACCCAAAAGCCGACAGACCCGGAAGGGTCATTGGAGGAGGGAGCACAGGGCGGCTCCATCATGCTTGAGCGGCCGGGGAGCCCGGCCGCTCAAGAATCAAAACCTCGGAAGCTCAAAGGCTCCCGAGCAAAACCAACACAACACCGGAGAAGGGGCAGAAGCAGGAGAGAAGGGAGAGAAAAGGGGGAAAGAGAGCCAATATATGAGATATAAGTTTAATTCAATAATATTGGCTTGTAACTGTAGATGTAAATTTTTTTATCTTTTGACACGTCAAAAATATATAACATATATTATATATAGTTAAAACTTATTTTTAGTTAACATTTTATATATTTTAAAATAGTAAAATGGCATATAAATAGAGTAAAAGCTTACTTTTAGCTCCTCACTTTATTAAATTTGAAGGTATTAACCTTTTACCTTAAATCATAAACTTTTAACTCATCACTTTATACTGTGACACTTTTAACTATTCATCTTATACTATGACACTTTTAGCTCCTCACCTATTAAAATTGAAGAAAATAATCCACAATTTGTAACATTTTGTTAATTTTGTTGGTTGACTGTTAACTCTATTAGCTGATTAGCAATTGACTGTTAGTTGACAAAAACCTTCTTTTAGCTAACAGAGTTAACAGAACTAATTTTATAATATTTTGTTAATTTTGTTACTTGACTATTAGTTGACTGTTAGTTGACAAAAATCTACTTTCAGCTAACAAAATTAACAGTCAGTATAAAGTGAAGGCTACTTTCTTTGATTATAATAGATGAGGGGCTAAAACCAATAAAGTTAGTAAAGTAAGGGACTAAAAATGTTATAATATAAGATAATGAGCTAAAACTTCAAATTTGATAATGCGAGAGACTAAAATAGGTTTTTCCATACAAATCGAAAGTGAAGCACCGGTTATCAAATGAAGTCATAATTTGAGTTAAACTTTATCAAATTTATTTGTATGGTTATTATTAAACATTTTAATATTTTTAATGTTATTAATGTTAGGACATTTTAATTTTTACTTTTTTTTTAATATATCTATTTATAAATTAATTTTAATTTATTAAATAATAATTATTAAATATTCTATTTGTTGTTAGTTGTTTCAATTTAAAATACCTAAAAACAGCCAAAAACTTAAATACCTCAGTAGTTATTTTTTCCTGTTGAAAATAAAAATTCTAAGTTTGAGTCGCATAACATATAGGTGTGGGTGAGATAATAGATGAGAGATGGTTGTCTCCCATTGTACAACTAAGATAAAAAAAAAAAAAAAGTGATAGTTTTGGTGGCCTTAAATAAATTTAATGTAGCTCATAAGTCATAACCATAACCTCAAATCGAGTTTTAACAATGATTCGGGAATTTTTTTTTTATATTTTATTAACAAAACTAAACCTCAAATCACTCACTCTTTATAGTAATTATTAATTATAATAATAAAATTAATTTAGGATAATTATTTTAATTAATATTTTTTTTATTTATGATTAGAATATCTCTATATTAGTTTTCATGTATTTTAAAACTAATTTTCCCTCAAGTAATCTTAAGCACGCACACTATATCAAATGCATTCAAAAAAATTATTTTTTTAAAGTGAATTTAACCTTAAACTTACCCTATGAGACAATATTTACTTATCAATAAATTAAACGCTTAAAGTTCTAAACTAATGTTGTTAACCATATATATATATATAATAAAAATGTATATGTATGATGAAAAATCTGCTTTTTTGTTTCCCCAAAAGTCCTCCCTTTGGCTTGCACGTTGTAGATGTGCTCAAGCATGCCATTTGCTTTGTAGCAAAAGCAATAAAAGGACTTCCTTGGTAATCCTTTTCTTCCAAGCGATCAACCTCCGAATTGGATGGCTAGAAGAACGTCAATTTAATAAAGAGATGCACCCCAAACCAAACAATTGGCAAGGAGGGATGCTTTTCTACACAAATGGGTTAAAAGTAATGCCTCGGAAAATCATCAAGAACTTCTTACATCAAGGGTTAATCAATTGTATTTATTGGTAAGGAAGACAAATATAATAGCTAAAACGCAAACAACTAAAAAGAAACTAAAGGGCGTAACAACTAAAAGACAAACAAAAGATAAAAAGTGCTATGGAACATACCTAAAATGCAGATTGGATTGCGAGAATGACAAACCTACACATACCTATGAATTATGCAAAGTAAAGAACTATACCTGCAAGCTGAAAATAAATTTGTAGACATATAGAAAAAGCTACATTATAAACGAGATTAATCTACTTGTAGATCAGATAGTAAAAATATAAAAAAGAGATGAAAGTAAATAGGAATTTTGAGGAATAAAGAAGCATAATTTCATTAACATAACTTGAAAACAATTGAAAAACTCAAATAAACAACAACATCAAATTTGGAATTTAATATTGATGGATTTACAAACGAGTTTATAAGAAGAACCTAAGAAAGCTAAGAACATACAATGATTAAAATAAAAACATGAAAAAAGATCTCTCATAGTGAAACTAAGTGAACTAGAATAAAACAATAAAAGCTAACCAAGAAAATGAAGTATGATTTGGTCTCAAACCTTCTGTTTGGAAAAACATGGTAGAGATTTGCTTGGTTCTGGAGATTTCTTGCATTGGGCAAACCTTCAACAAAATAGAAGATTCAAACTAAAACTATGAACAAGAACTGGATTCTGAATTGCAATATGGAAATTATGCCGAAGGCTAGCAATTGAAACTAATCTGGAATTGAAATTGATGCATACTAGGTGTTTTTTTGAAATGGGCAGGCCTGAAAAATTGAATTTTCCTCCATTGTTCTCTCTAATCTTGATGTTGAGATGGTTGCTCCATGACTTTCGATCCTTTTCTCACAAAATTTCGCTAGTGATTTGATCTACATTTGATGGCAATTTTCAAACATTTGGTAGCTAGAAGTTTGATTCCAAATCCAACTCTAATAAAACCCTAACGTAATCTTCTCCTAAAAATCCTCTAACTTCCTAATTTGAATTAAAAGCAATTAATTAAGGGATATGCTTTACCCCTTACCACATGGCATTAGCCCACTATTCACCTCTGTCTGGGTTGCGAATTTTACAACAAGCTCGCTCCAAATCAACACCAAAGCCCATTGACATGGCAAAAAATTTGTCCAATGGCTGGGCTCAATTTGACATGTGGCATTCTCCTATTAATTTTTTTATTTTAGGTGTAAACATTTTTGCTTCATTGATATGACAATTCTAAGCTTTATTTTATCTAACGATATGGCGATCCTAACTATTATTAATTTTCACATAATTGAAAGATTATCACTTAATTAATTTATTAATTGTTAGTTTAGTAAAACTATGTGTGATTACATGTTATTTAGTAGGCATACCATAAGACACACGTAAAAGCTACACCCTTCATATCATATTAATTATTAGGTGTTTTAGACTTATGCACACTGATTAAAAAAGGCAATCTATGCCTCTAAAAATGTATATCAAGTAGTTAAAAGCTTAAGATTCTAATTTAGAGATCTTAAACTTGAACGTTGAGATAGGTGGATAGGATTAAGGAAAGAGCAAGTTTATTGCCTATTTTATGGATTATCATTTGATGTAAAAAGAAAAAAGAAAAAAAAAAAGAAAAGAAAAGGAAAAGCAATTTATCACCCTTGATGGGCTTATTGTCATCTATAGCTATCTTTCTCTATCACATTAATTAAAGTAGTTTTAGACTTCTATTAATATGGTAGCATATGATACCAATGACTTGTTGATTGAAGTTGAAAGTTCCTTTACTGATTTTAAGTTCAAGTCTTGTGAATAGATAGATAGGTATTAGGAGAGCTTCCTTTCTCATGGGATTTGATTAGGCTTGAATTTGGATTAGTTGGGGCATAATATGACTTCTAGATATTGAAGGATTTAATACCAAAAATAATATAGTAGCCTATAATATGTTCACTAAGTGATGTTCCAATTGTCAAGAATTTGACTTTGTATATTAAAGGTTTCATGCTCAAATTTTGAGATGGATAGGCAGGGTTTGGAAAGTAAACTCTATTATAAACATATTATCATATATCATAAAAAAAAAAAATAGTAGCATGTTCTTTTCTCAAAATAAAAATAAAAGGCATAAATATGATATAAGGACCCAAACTTACACAAAATTCGCAATGTTAGACCCAAACTTCAATTGCACTCAATTAAGGTCTCAAACTCCACCAAATTCTCAAATAAGGTCCCAATTGGACGGAAAACTAACTTCCGTTAAATCTAACAAACACAGTTAATGTTTTGTGACACTCCCTTAACTGAGTTTGTGACGCCGTTTGTCATCGGCACGCCGTTTGTTATTTGCACGCCTTTGCACGCCTTTGCATGTTGCACCTGCACACCTTTGCACGCCTTTACATGTTGCACCTGCACACCTTTGCACGCCTTTGCATGTTGCACCTGCACACCTTTGCATGTCTTTTTGTTCCATTACTTCATTTGTTTTTGGTAATAATATTATTTATTAATTAATTATTTTTAAAATTAATTAATTAATATTATATAATATATATCCTCAATTATTTTTAATAAAATAATGATATGTTTCTTATTTTAATTAATAATATGTTTTACTTCAATAGACTTTTTAAATTTAATTAAATCACTTAACTAATAAATTTTTTTAACATTTTCTTTATTTTTCTCATTAATTTTTCTTTTAATTCAAATTTGGTAGATTTAATTTTTTATTTAGTATGTTCAAATTTAATTATTCACTTTTTATTTTTAAAATATTATTTAATGTATTTATTCTTTATTAATCATCATTT